CAGTGGGGCCATATGGCAGAAAGCTGACTAGTACCTGCCATCTAGCCTCTCTTTCTCTATGCTGGGGACACAAATGTGATGACTGGATCTTCACATGGAAGCACCAGGAAGACAACGAATTCCAGATGCCAGAGGAGAAAGCTAGGGGCAGCCTGGTTCCTTAGAGATGCACAACCACCAAAGTGCTACCTCTGTACTTAGGGAAAGGAATGACTCCTGCCTTGTATAAGCCCCAGTGGTGAGCACAGAGATCTGTGTCTGCGCTGGGAACTTCAGGCTGACAGCCAGTCCTCTCACTTTAGCAGCTGCAGTTGGTGGCCACACAGGGTAGAATGGGAGGAGCCTGATACAGGGTCTTCTGACCCATGCTAGGAGGTAGTTCCATGACGACACATCCCTAGTCTCCAGAGAAGGAAGAGCTAGGAGCCACTCCCTGGCCATTTGGGATCTGCTCCTGTCAGCCTAGGCACTCACAGCTGATAAAGGTACCTGGTTTGGGGGATGAGATGGGACACTGTCCAGCCTTCTGGGGCCAGGGCCAAGGAGGAGTCAGACAAGAAGGGTCTGGAGGCCAGGGAGGCCCGGGGTATTCCAGGGAACCCTAGGCAGCCAGAGACCTGAAAAGCATGCAGTCAGGTGGCACCAAGCCCTAGCCCAGGAGTGGGCTGCTGTCATTTCCCTCCATTTGCCCAAGTCTGTGTTATCTCCCAGACAGGTGCTGGTGCCCACCTTATGCTTGCATTCCTAGTGAGAAGGAAGGAAGTCTGGGGAGTTCCCTCCCTGTGTCCTTGGCGGAGCTTCACCCATGGCCCAGGAGCTTACTGGTTAGCTTTATCGCTGTGCTTGTTAATCATCAAGGTGGCTTAAAATCCCTTGGAGGACTCAGGTGCCAAACAGAACCTGCAGATGAACTAACTGTTGACAAAATGCCTTCACTGCCTCTCTCTTCCCCACCTTCTCCATTCCTTAAAGATATCAGCTTGATCCAGCCCCTGGGCCCCTTCTGCCAACACCGATCCCCTCACCCTCTCAAGCCTGGTTTCTCTTTGTCATTCAGACTTCGGCTTAGATGTCACCTCCTTAGAAGGCCTTCCATGGACTCATCTCTGAAGTTGCTACCCTGTCACTCTCCAGAAGATCACCTGGCTTTAAATATACAAATAAAAACCCATCTCTACTCCATGTTTCTTGTTTGCTTATTGTCTGGTCTTGGGTGTCAGTTCTACAGAGGCAGCATCCTTATCTATCTTGTTCCCTGATGTGACTTGAGGTCCGAGCAGAGTACACCATAGCTGCACAAAGAATGCCTGTGACCACTCTTGAGCAGAACACAGTGGTTAAAGGCACTAACTATAAGGTCAGGAAGACCCGGGTGCCACTACTGGATTAGCTGTGTGACCTGAGGCCAGCTAGAGTCTGTCTGTGTCTCAGTTTCCACATTTGTAAAAGGGAGGTAATGACAGCGTGGTCATGAGGTTTCTATGAAGTGGTGGAAGCTGGACCTTTAGAATGGTTTCTGGCATGTGGTGAATGCATTGTAAGTTGTATGGATGGCTTTCATCACCACCATCACCATCATCATCATCACCTTCGTCACCACCATCACCATCATTAATACCGTCACTATCAACACTGTCATCCTCACCACCATCACTACCACCATCACCTGGCTTCTCTCTGTCATTCAGACTTCTGCTGTCACTTCCTTCATATGCTTGCCACAATATCCTGGATAGGCTGCCATGTCATGGGCCAGGTGATTGAGACTGCATGAAGTAGTGTCTTCCTGCTCTGGGACCCAGAGCCAGCTCTCCTGGGCAGATGGCTGAGCCTAGGAGAGGAGGTACAGTGACATCCTCCCACATGACAACAGTCACTGGAGGTGAGCGGGATAGGGCAGGCATGGCTTTCTTTGGGAGAATGAGCCCCATGTGCAGCACTTTTGGCTCTGCAGATGTGATGCTTGTTGCCATGGTGACTGTCCTAACAATAACCTCCCAGAACTAATATTCCCCATACCCGCCCCAGCTGCCACCTGGGAGGGAGAGCCCTCCTCGATTACGAAAGCAAGCTAGAAAGGACAAGGTGGGAAGTGGAGATGGCACAGGGGCAGGGTGGAGGGCATGGAGAAGGGCCCTTCCTGAAGGTGGGGGAAGGAGGAGGGGAAAGTCTGGGCCTTCTGACCAGAGCCCAAGCCAGATGAGAGGGCTTCTGGGGTCTGGGATCAGAAAGTCATCCTTGGAAGACATTCACCCTTCTTGCCTTTTCTCCCTGCTAGGGAGGAGCACTCTGGGTCTGGAGGTGAAGAGTGGGCTATTCTGTGAGTGGGCTATCCCTCAGCCCATCTGGGCTCAGTCGTCCCCCCTGTCTGGAATCAGCTGTTCCTCCTGTCCTCCCATGGCTGTACCATAGCACATGCTTATGCTTTAGCTCAGAGAAGGGGCTGCCCCGGGGTTTCTAGGGCCAACAGGAGAACAGGGGTGTTGGCGAGGCACAAGACACAGTGGGCCTCAACTTGTGCCACTTAGTGACCCCCAAACTTGTGGGGGGCCCTAGCCAACCTCCAAACCTTTTGAAAGGTGACCTCACAAAAGACTACGAAGATGGCTGCTATGTCCCCCTGCACAGGGGCTAGAGGATGCCTTGTGAGTATGTGTATGTTTTATGGATGTATCTGTGTGTATATGTGTGTATGTATGTATTTGCATGTGTGTGTTTGAGTGCATGAAAAGGCAAGGAAGCTTTATGGGGTAGTGGACTGTGAGTCCCAGCCATTCTTGACTGTGTGACTGTGGGTAAGTTACCTTAGCTCTCTGTCTGTTGTCCCATCTAGCTAAATGAGAGATGCTACGGATCTCTCATTATCCGTAGCTAAATGAGAGCTAAACGAGATAATGCATGCAACATGCACGCAAGTATCATCAATGTTAGTTGTCATTAGGATGCCAACATCACTTTATATCTCCTGAACATGCTAGTAGAAGTGTGTTTGACTTCACAGTAGCTTTGAAAGAGTCTGACTTACAGAGGGGTGTGATTTTGTTTTGTTTTGTTTGTTTTGTTGCTTGTAGTCTACTGTGTGGCCCCACCTCTTCTTTCTCAGCTCAAAAAGGCAAGGATGCAGATGCTCCCAGCAGGTGCTGGGAGAGGCTCCTATGGGGTTAAACACAATCTCAAGAACAAATGTCCAGTCCTTCCCTGGGGCCACCACAGTCTGTCTGTTAGGATGGCCCTAAGCTCACTGTGCCCAACCCTGGCACTGAGGCATGGATGGCATCGCCCTTCCTCCCTTTCTGCTGAAGTCAAGGCCATGTTACCTCTGCCTCCTCAGCACAGGACTTCCCCATGGAACCCAGCACTTGCCTTTAGCCTTAGAGTTTCTCAACCTCTAGCCTGCTCCCACATGCAAATAGGTTTCACACAGAGCAAGAATTTGTTGCCACTGGGCTTACTGATCGCCCAAATGTCTGTGCCAAAGGGATCCTGGCCTGGGAGGGCACTGGTGGCCCCCACTCCAGAATCTCTTCATCTGCTTCTTCATCCAGGTGAAGTTTATTGTAGCTTCTGGGGCTAGCCCTGGGCTGGCCTTGGGGTGAAAGAGATGAGAAGGACAGGTCTAGACTCTGTCCTGGGGTGGAGGGGTGGAGCAGTAAGCAGGTCATGTCAGGGTAGCAGTGTGACCCAAATCCACAGCTGGCTCCCTCCTCAGAGCCTCCCCAGGATGGCCCTGTCCAAGGAGTGTGGGGGTGCTGGAGCTGGGGGGGGTGTGTCTCAGGTCCTGGTTCTGGATGGCAGCCCTGATGGCAACCCTCAGGGAAGGCTCTTTTATGGGAAACCAGGTCAGCCCTGCCTCCCTGCTCTCTCCTCCTTGGCCTCCAGGACCACTTTCAAGAGGGACTTGGAGTGGATAGACGCTCTTCCTCTAGGCCAGAGCAAGGGGAAGGCTGAGAGATCAGGCCTGGAGAAGGGAAGTGTGTTCCCCTATTTGGGCAGGGTGGCTATGAGCTCTCAGGCCCCCAGAGGAGGCCTATGGAGCAGCCCCATTCTCCCCACCCCAGGGCCTCTCAGTCTGAATGCCAAATGCTCCCTCCTGGGAGCAGTGTGATGAAAACACTGGGAACTCCATTCTAATCACCTAGTGACCAGTCCTTGAAAGACAGAGGGAAGAAGGGGTGGGACCATGGGGAGGGAGCAGCCCCAGCTTCTCACTCACCCTAGTGTCCCACTGTGCATTCCAGGACTCCTGGGCAGCTCTGCCAGAACAGGTGGACCGGGCTGTGCCCTGTGTAGGGTGATGGAGACAGGACAGGAGGGATCTGGCAGCATTTCCTTCCCAGAAAGTGAGATCTGGGTCTTGTGTAGGGTGGCCCTGGAGCTCCTGGCATCCCATGTGGGCCCCAGTTCCCTCCTGCCGTCTGAAGGCTGTGGGCCTTCAGGGTAGAGACTAGACTGGGTTCATTGTGTTAGTTTTCTGTGTGCGTGGGAGCAGGGGCATAGCAAGCAGAATTGCTGGCTCAGGTGGCCTGCCTGTGCAGGGAGCGAGTGGGTGCAGGCGCGGGTGTCGGGAGCGGGTGTGGTGCGGGAGAGGGCGCGGGTGTGGGTATGTGCAAGGTGCGGGAGCACGCGGGCGTGGGTGCAGGTGCAGATGTGGACGTGTTGCGGGTGCCGGGCACGTATGTGGGTGCGGGTGTGTGCACCAGGCGCGGGTGCGGGCACAGGAGCAGCGTGTGCAGGGTGCGGGTGAAGCGCGTGCAGGGGGCGGCGGGCGGGGCAGGCGCGGCGGCGGCGGCGGTGACAGTGGCGC